CGTGCCGCAAAGCGGCACGTGCCCATTTGCCAAATTACCGTTATTCGACAATTTTTGCCCAATATTGTATACATATCGGGATACCCGATATTTATTTTTTACCCGATATGCTTCTGATATTTTTTGACATATTGCCAATATAGATCAGATTTTTGGCGCAGATAGTTAGCAATCGTTAGCTATCGGGTATCTGATATTTATAGATATTTATGCTTTTGACCTGTGATCTAAGCAATGATTGGGTTCGAACGTGTCTTGAAAGCGAATACAATTTAGGTCTTTAAATGGGTTATGACAATTCAATCTATATTCAATATTGAATGTGTAACAAAGGTAACGTGGGTACCAATCAAATTTCGAGTTTGATTTCGTCGATAATCTCAAAATGCCATTTTCAAAATAAGGTACTTCAAAAGTTTTTGGCGCAAAAGAAAAAAATATGTAGATAGTATAAAAATATGAAATAGCAAGAAATTCTATTATAATAAAGAATGCTAGTTATATAATGTTAGAATAGAAGTGAAACCCGTTTTTTTCACAAAACCTATAAATTTTTATACTTTGCAGATCCTTAATTAAATCATTATCCTGAAAATTTTCTAGCATTACACTTGATATTGCCGCGCAAGTTTTCTCAATTAAAAATCCAGATACGTAGCAATATCGAAATTTTTATAATTAAAGCCCTCTGAAATTTTGTAGAATTTCATCAAGAGATCTGAGAATGTTAGCATATAGTACGATAACAATATTATGCATTTTTCGAGTAATAACTAATAAAAATAATGTTATATGTTCGAATTTCACTTGAACAAGATAAGAATATCAAAATTCAAGCATTTCACGAAATACTATGAAATAAATAGATAACGAAAGTTAATCCTTTTGGCCAATCAGATTAGCAAATTAACCCAATTGCCAATCAAATCAATTTTTATATGCTTCGAAACACAGAAATGCTCAAAAGAGGAAGTATCTAGCGGTCTGATTTGAGATTTTTAACAAGAAGATTGGATTTATTACTTAAAAAAAAAAACTATTGATGCTTGAAAATTCCGGGTTTATACCAAATGAATGCTCAAAATCATCGGCTCCAATCTACCTAATTTTACTTTTGGTGTCAATTATATGCAATATATTAATTTCATCTTCTATATCGAACGAATTATCCTCAAGTCCATCTTCAGTCGCGATTGTAGGTTTTTCATCGACCTTGTCCCATTTCCACGAAATAAAAATATAATTTTTCTCATTACGAATCATATTGCCTAAAGCGAAACTACCTAAGAACAACAACCCCGAAGATAAATAACCTTCATCACAATATAAAAAAAAACTTATATATCCCACATGTAAATATAATTGAAGTGCTATTGAAAATATAAGCGCGTAAGAATCTTTATCCTCAATCATTTTTCCAAGAGATGTAAATTTTAATGTCAAAGTCAATGGGAAAACTAACAAAATGGAAAGAAGACTTATCCATTGAAATATGAACATATATCCGGTGGATGGGAAATTATTTTTCAAATAAACTTGAAAAATCATTTGGATTATGTAAATTGCAATTAAAGAAGGTCCCCAAATATACCCAAAGAATTCGATAATCTTAATCTTCTTTTTCCTGAATGTTGCTAGAAATGCATTAAAAATCAACAAACCACAAAAGACATACATAGCGATTGAACATTTGCGAAGTAATTCGGGCAAATTTTCATTATTTAGTTCGAAAAATCTGATCGTCATGTAAGTCATAAGAACGAATAATGCCGAAAGTTGGATGTCTACAGTACGACTAATTAGAATTTTTTGTATTTTAGCAAAAACAGATGCATCATCAGTTGAAGGTTTAGAAAAGAAACTTAAACTTAAGCCGGATGAGAAGGATAAATAATTTCCAAACGCAACATGTGAGACGCTGTGAGTAATATCACTACACAGAGTCGAAGCTAATGACGTACTAATCAAGGATAATAAAACTATTGCTATGTATTTAATCATGAAAAATATATCGGTAATAGAAATTTCGTGGTTTGAAATTGGATATTTATGTATTTTATATATATATGCTTCTTCTACTTATTACCCTCACCTGAATGTCATAAATCCCACTATTTTCAGCTTTGCTGCAACATTTGTCATTTCTCATTTCGATTAAAATTAAATAATAAATAATATATAAATATATATTTTCATTTCTCATCTGTGTAGCAATATACCTAATTGCTCATTATTTCTTATCTTGATTATTATTCCCATCTGTATAACAGATTACGGATTGAATTACTCAATCCCTAGGCTGGGCTTAAATATTTGACCAAATAAATCAAGCCATTAGACTGATAACGGTTTTATCTGGAGTAATGATTTAAATTAGGTAAATGTTCGTATCTTTTTCTTTTTTTTTTTTTTGATATAAGTTAATAAAAATGGGAATGTTAATGGGGGAAGATGGAATGTTTCGGAAGGGACAAGGACATTCAAAATGTACAACATTGACTTTAGCTATTTTTAACTATCGTCTGAAAATAATAAATATTTGACAGACAAATCTTAGTAAATTGCCAAGGCAACGATTGTTGTTTACTATTACAAAAAAATCAAGCAAAAAAAAAAAAAAACAATTGAATGTTTGAATTCGAGCTCTTTAATTTCGTTGCAACGTTCTTCAATGATTAAATATATAGCGATAGTTTTATTTTTCTTAATTCGTATATCATTAGCCTCAACTCTATGTAATAGTATTACTCAAAGCGTCCCACATGTTGCATTCGGAAATTATTTATCTTTTTCTATTGGTTTATTTTCAACCTTCTTTTCGAGTCCTTCTAATGATGACACATCGTTCCTCGCTAAAATAAAGAAACTTTTATTTAGTGATACTTTGATCATACAATTTGCTGTGTTATTCTCCTTTATGACTTATGTGAAAAATAAGTTCTTCTTGTTAAATGGTGAAGATTTACCTAAATTATTTCTTAGATGTTCAGTCGCAATGTATTTCTTCTGCATTTTAGCTGCTTTAGCTAATATTACACATCTATTTATGATTAACTTAAATCTTGTCAAAGATTTGGTTAATAAAAAATTTTTAAATTTTATTTATACTGGTATTTATATTGGCTTTATTATTCCAATTTATATTATTCAAATGATTTTTCAAATCTATATGAAAGATCATTTCCTTCTAGTGATTACTTATATATATTTCAATGGATAAGTATTTTTTCTATTTTATTAATTATTCCATTAGCAATAGTTTTGCGATATACTCAATTCGGAAAAGATTTTGACGATTCTCACGTTTACATTTACTTTTTAATATATCCTTTAGCTTTTCAACTATATTTACATATAGGATATATATTATACTGTGATGAAGGCTCTTCTTCTACTTTATTATTGTTCCTTGGTAGTTTCGTCTTAAGTAATGCTATTAGATTCGCTTATGAGTTAAACTTTCCAAGCTCGAAATGGAAATTGGTTAGAATTAAAAAATCACATTCAGAAGAAAACAAAGAAATGCTTGCAATTTTTGATAATTCATTAAAAAATAATCCAGATGATCTATCAGTACTTAATTATCGTGCATCATTATATCAAAAGATGGGTAGAAATGAAGAATCGCTTGCAGATTTAACTAAAGCAATAGAAATCAGTTCATCATCTGGCGATTATGCTATAGCAATGTCATTGAATAATCGTGGACTTGCATATCAAAATATGAGTAGATATGAAGAATCTCTTGCTGATTTAAATAAAGCATTAGAAATCTGTCCAGATTATGTTGCAACATTAAATAACCGTGCAATTACATGGGTAGACTTGAAGAATCACTTGCAGATATTAATAAATCATTAGAAATTGGACCAAATAATGCAAATACATTGAGCTATCGTGGAAATTTGTATCAACTTATGAGTAGATATGAAGAATCACTTGAAGATTTAAATAAATCATTAGAAATTATGCCAAATGACGCTTTTGCATTAACAGTTCGTGGATTTACATATAAAAAAATGCGTAGATATGATGAATCACTTGCAGATTTAAGTAAATCATTAGAAATCAATCCAAATAATATCGAAACTCTTAATGAACGCGCAGAAATAAATTTATGTCTAGGCAGGTATAAAGAATCATTTGCAGATTTAAATAAATTATTAGAAATCAGGCCAAATAATGGTGAAACTTTATATAAGCGTGCAGCGGCATATAGTTATGTGAGAAAATATGATGAATCAGTTACAGACTTAAATAAATTATTAGAAATCAATCCAAACGATGTTAAAGCGTTATTGATTCGTGGAGTAATATATCGAATGGTAGGAAAATATGAAGAGTCACTTATTGATTTGAATAAACTATTAGAAGTTAGACCAAATAATGTTGATATATTGAATGAGCGTGGATTAACTTATCAAGAGATGGGTAAATATAAAGAATCACTTTCTGATCTTAATAAAGCATTAGAAATCAAAGAAAATGACACAAAAGCATTGAATGCCCGTGGTATAACATTTCGAATAATTGGCAAATTTAAAGAATCACTTGATGATCTAAATAAAGTATTCGAAATCAATCCAAATGATAAAAATGCGTTAAAAGATCGTGGATTAACGTATCAGCTTATGGGTCGATATGAAGAATCGCTTAATGATTTTAATAAATCATTAGAAATTGAAAAGATGGGTAGATATGAAGAAGCATTTACCGGTTTGAATAATGTTGCTAAATTATTGATTCATCGTGGGTTTATATATCAAAAGATGGGTAGATATGAGGAATCACTTGTTGATTTAAATGAATCCTTAAAAAGTCGACTTCATGATGCGAAAATATTACTTAAACGTGGATTAGCATATCTGATGATTGCAAATATAAAGAATCACTTACAGATTTAAATATATCTTTAAAAATTAGGCCAAATAATGTTATGGCCTTATATGTTCGTGGACTGACCTATCAAAAATTGGGCAGTTACGAAGAATCACTCGTAGATTTAAATAAATCTTTGGAAATTAGAACAAATAATGCCAATGCATTATTTATTCGTGAATTAATATATAAATTTATGGGAGAATATGATGAATCGACTGTAGATTCAAACAAAGCCCTGGAAATTAGACAAAGCAATTCTACAACATTAATTATATTTGATCATGATATTGGGTTCGAAGATTTAGTAAATATTTCGAAATCAATCTAAAAGTTGCCATAACATTGAAAAGCCATTAAGTATTAATCTATGAGTGCTAGCTTTTAAATCCATAATTTTACGAGACTAAACTCTGAAAATCTGATCAACAACAATAATTGATATAAATTTGCTGCAAAAGAAATATCGAAAATTTTTTTTTGTTCTAGCAGCTTAGTGAAGTAGTGTTAAAAATTATAGTACTTATAGGAACTTCTAAAAGGTGTTTAAACTCTGATAAGCGATATTAACCATATCTTAAGTTTGGAACACTTTTTGAGAAAAGTGATATTGATTTGAAGCTCAAAAAAGATTAAAGTTTTAGAGTAAAGAATCGCATAGTAGTGATTTTCAATGAAAAGCTTATTTTTTGAGATATATATTTTGTATTATTATATAACCTTTCTTTTTTTTTCTAGTAAATAAATTATGGCCAATATAATCTAAATATTTTTAAATAAAATCTGGGTTATAAGTCATTCTTGTTATAGCGAATCATTGAGCCGTGATAATTTCTTTATTATATCGAGAGATTCATAATGAGACCTCTTGATATAGTGAATTCTCCATGACGCTATAAAATGAATACGTATTTAAGTCTAAGGATAAATAGATTAAAATGATAATTTTTTCTTAATTTGTATAAAGATTACTAATTAAACTTGTGACCTGCAATTAATGTCTATAAGATCCTTTTTTTGAATCAGCCACAGTGATAATTTTACCAAATGTCTCAATCTTTCTCAACAGTGATACTGCATCAGTTCTTTCAAATGAGAACAGATATGTTCATTCGGATGAAAACAGATAGTAGACTAATTTTTTTACATATAAAGTCGAACAATCTATTTTTGTACAGTATTATTAAAATTTTGAGAAGTAATTAAAAAAAAAAGTAAAATTTATTTTTAGCTTTTAAAAAAAAATGTTTAACCCAAAATTATATATATGGGAGAAGTCAATAGAAATGGAACAAATTTTTTTAAGTACGGTAAAAGTTTTTTTAAATTTTATATTAAAATATCCCAAAAACTATCAATAAAATTTTTTTTATTTTAATTTAGATAGCTATAGAATCAAAACAAAAAAATTTATTGTCGCGGCTGATGCTGAAATTTAGGGTCCCAATTTAAATCTATAATACCTACTAAAATTCGCATATACTTTTTTACTAATAACACTAACCCTAAACTCTAACCTAACCCTATAAAAAAACCCCTAACGAAAAGGCCAAAAAATTTTTAAAATTTCGTAATAAAATATGTCAAAATTTCAGCATTAGCCAACACCAGCCGCGGCATTTATTATATTTAATTCGGTAGTTATTAAGATATTTTAGTTTAAAATTTAAAAAAAAAGTTGTCAAAAATGATTTGTCTTATTTTTATTGACTCGACTTATAAATTAAAGCAATTTTTAATTGTTTAAAATATAGCTAAGAATATTACAAGTTTGTATACCAAGTTTGTACAAATAAACAGTTAAAAAAAAAGTACAACGTTTAGTCTGCTACAAACAGCTTTTTTTCTATATATAATTATTGCCAATATCAAAGAAGTTAATTATTGAAAGTTACACCAAATAATAGTTCAAAATATATCGTATCTTACTAGGTATATAGAGTTCATGTCGATATACGTAGCTATATATTGAACCTAGGTGCCGCACAAAAAATGCGCAGCAGATCCTCTATTTTGATTGGCTAAGAGCGACGATCAAAACATTAGGCCGGAATTACTCATAATTTTACTAATGAAATCGCAGCCGCCCATTAAGTGAAAATTGCTCCTGGGTCAATTTTACCATAATGCGGGCTTATTTCATAAAAATTTCTATTTTTGTAATGAGAAAATTAAAAAGTTAATTTCGGCCGGAAATTAGTAAACAATTATGTAATGCGGGCCAAAATTTTGAAGATCCTCGGCCGTTAGCCAATCAAAATCGAGGATCTGCCGCGCATTTTTTGTGCGGCACCTAGGGTTAATATAAAAGTTCATGTATCCAATCAAAATTACAGAAAACATTGCATATTACCATGCACTCCCGTTCCTGGTGTACGCAGTACATGTTACGATTATTGTTAAATATTGCAGGTTGCTATATCGCAGATTAGTATGATTGACCAATTAGATCACAGGATCTTGTGTAACAAACCGAACGAAAAATTAGAAAAATTACAAAAATTTTAAAATATCGTTTTTAGCAGTTAATTTTGAATATATATGTCTTAATCTTAATACTAGTTCGAACACTAACCTTAACTAATAATAATATTAAATTTTTTTTAAATATTAACCTGCGATATCGCAGCCTGCTAAATAAATTATTTCATAAAGCATTTATAATTAATGTATTTTCGGAAATAAGCATGAACTTTAAAATCGAATTTGAAATCACGAACGTCAATTAAAAGAAACGAAGTGAGTATGTTTGGTGATTCACATTTCATGAAAAAAATATGTCACCCATTTTATCCGAAACAAATTTTCAAAGCTTATTTCTGAAATCTCTGATTGTTTAAATTCAAATCACTAGAACCCGTGATCTGTTAGTACTAGATGATACATGCTGCTATGGCTTTTCGCTAAGTAAAACTGAAAATTAATGTAATTACGAAGTAATAATGGCAAAACAATAAAGTGATACTCATCGCATAATGTATTTTTCTTTGTTATTTGGCTTTGAAAAAAATTTCATGCCAAATTAAGTGTAAACTACAGAAATGATTGATTTGACTTTCAAACTTTCAACAATTATTAATTCTATGCAATGGCTCTTCTTGAACAGTTCGTGCTTAAAAGACAGAATTAATTTTGTTTTTGGGACCAATTTAGAGATCTTATAATTTCAGCTTAACATCTGTTGATTAGCGCTAATATCAGAGCTTTTTCCTAACCGTCACAAGGTGGAAATACCGCGAAAGTAAATATAATATATATACCGGTAGGCGGCGTACATTCATGTACCTCAAAAGTTTGTCAATTATTTTAGCAACTGAAATTGAAGCCTTCTTTATCATAGCGCGTTACTTATGAATTTTTATCTGATTCTTTGTTATAAATATCGTTAGTATTTCTTTTCTTAAACTAGCTTAATGCCTAAATATTATTCAACTCCAAAGGTGAGTCTTAGATAAGATAAGATAAGTAATGCACGATTCCAATATCTTCGTCATAGCAATAACCAACAACTTGATATCTCACAAGCGCTATCCATGTCAGCAAATTGTTGAATTTCTTTATAGTTTTGTCTTTAATACTGTATTAGTTTTCTCTTCTTTTCTTTTAATGTCAATATAATCGACCTGGCAACTTACAGCTTAAATATTAGCAAAATGGTACAGACATATAGTTATTCTTAATAAGTAATTTTAATTAATAAATAAGGTCAAATAAATAAATGGTTCTTTTGCTAGAAAAATCACTTTCTGAGAATGATTTCCCTAGCAAAGATCCCAAATGCGCATTAAAGCATTATTAAAAGTTACAACGGGTGAAAAGACACCGTTAGAGAATAAAAGTTTTGCGTACCAAATCTTATACAATATTAAACCGCTACTATTGCTGTTCTTTTCGTACCGATTGTTAGCTCAAAAAGCCATGCTCATCTCTAATGCTCTTACCTTTAAGATATGTAGATCTTTTAAAACTAAGATAATATGTGTAAAACCTTTTAAACTAAACCATGGTAAAAGATTATAGTTTGATACAACTGATACAGAAATTTATTACCTTGCGCAATAGGTTAAGACTGTTCTGACATCATTATGTAATGCGACTTATTCTGGGAATTATCATTGGCGAGTCCAGCGTGTGTAACTCCATATTCAGACGGATATCTCCTCTTCATAGTTTTAAAATGGTTGGCACATATTCTTTTCTTTTCATAGTTGTAAATTGTTGGTAATAAAATAAAAACAATAAGAAAATGAAAATAAAATAAAATAATGACGAAATGAAAATAAATAAAGTAATAGCGAAATGAAAATAAAATAAGATAAACGAAATTATATTATTTAATAGTCAGACCCATAAGACGATGGTAAAAGATTATAGTTTGATATAGTTGATACAAAGGTATTATCTTGCGCATTAGGTTGAGATTGTTCATATCGAAGTGGAGTAATGGCGTAATGCGAATTATTCGGGGAGTTATCATTGACGAGCCCAGCGTGAATAGCTCCATATTCAGATGGATTACAAAAGGAGGTCTCAGTAATAGAATTGAATGGAAAAGTATTCGAGAATTCATAGTTTGAAAACGTGGGAGTAGTTGGCTCATATTGTTGAGATGGAGATGGTAATGAAACACTTCCAACGGAACAAACGGGTGTAGATGCTATTAAAATTAAAGATAAGGATAAGTAATAATTACGAGACAAATTAAATAATTTAACAAAAATTTTTTAATTACCAAAAGTTATTGATTGTTGGTTTGAATTAGAAATAATATTCTGAGCAAAATCTAAAATAAAATCGGTATTAATTGGTAGCAGAAAATTAAAGCACTAGTTATTTTTACAGATCTTACCAGGAGTGATTTCAATTTTACAATCATTAGAACATTGTAAATAATATTTTTCCACTCTATGAATGGTATATTTTTCAGTAGGATCTTATAATAAATGATGGTTAATATATGTGAATGACGGTGTAAAATACTGAAATAGAAACCAAAATGTATCATACCAATAATAGTCATTACACAAAGTTCACACGGTCTAAAGCTTTCTCTTTTTTCTTTTTTTCTTTCACATTTAATACATCGGAAACAGCACCATTTCTTCAGTTCTTTACACCTGACACATCGAAGATTTCCGGGCTCTCCCACATAAATACATGCTTGTTTATCTACAGTACAATTAACACATTTATCTGCACATCGCGGAGTAAGGCACATTGTTAGTAGGAAAATAATAATAACAAAATGAAAATAATAAAAGGAAAATAAAATAACAAACCGAAAATAAAACAATGTCGAAATGAAAATAAATAAAATAATAGCGAAATGAAAACAAACAAGATAGGCGAAGGATGTTGCAGTAATGGCGCTTATATACTTTTCGGCAAAAAAACGTTTAGCGATAATTTTAGCTTTATTAATGTACTGTAGTACTGTATTTGAAATTCACATCAGAATGAGCTGATACATACAGTAGTTTTATCGCTAAGGAATATCATCTGCATCCAAAATGCTTTGTTTATATAGAACAGATTAATTCTTAGCATTTATTTGGAAATTTATATTAGAATGTCCTAATAGTTTTATCGCTAAGGAATATCATTTGTATCTAAATTGCTTTGTTTATATATAACAGATTAATTCTTTGCATTTATTTGGAAATTTATATTAGAATGTGCTAATAGTTTTATCGCTAAGGAAATATAACTTTTTAGATCCGATTAAATTCTTCAGGTAGATCTAAACTAAACATATTTGGAAATTCATATTTGGATGTTACACGACACCTTCACCCGGTGTGCAACACATAAAAAAATTATTTTACAATACCAACCTATGTAATTATACCACAAAAAATTTTCCGGTCACATGACTTTATCGTGGCGCAAACCAATTGAATTTCAGGA